ACAGACGCGCTACAGTTCATCCACTTCCTTCTTCAGACTTTCGTTGATCTTCAATGCACCTTGGAGTTCCAACACTTGGGCCTTAAGCCTATCGACGAACTTCTTGAAGTGGATCACTTGATTATAAATAACAATCAACTCTTCATCCTTTGCATAAGCAACGGAACGAAACTCAGAAACGGTGCGCTCAAGATCTTGAATATGAGGTATGTAACATCCAATCTTCTTCTCTGCACTTTCATACTTAACTTAGATCACATCAAGCCTAGTCTTCCAATCAACGATCTCTTGGCGAATGGTCTCAAGCTGCAGAGAAGTAGGGATAGAGATATTAGACCCCTTCAAAGCGATGAGTTTTGACTCCAACCTTTTGATTTTCTTAGCTGAGGAATAAGTTTCAGCTGCCATAGTCTTTGCCACCTTTGACAGCCTTGGTATTCTCTTGGTCAAGGAGTAAAGATTCAGCTACCAAAATCGTCGTTTTCTGTATCATAGCAAGCAGAGCAGTCCTTATATATTCGATCATATACTTCGCAAAAGGAACTTGGGTAGACAACCCCTTTAATGCCATCAACAAGCTTGGCACACACATCCATATCTTCAAGCATATATGGTTTCAAGAGCGCACAAATCTTAGCAGCTTCCCCAGAAATAGGCTTGGTGGATTTTTCACAACTACTCACGCAAATAGTCTCATTTTTCTCAGCAAGTGAATCAATCTCAGTAGTGAGGGGAATGGGTTTTGGTGCCATTTTGGCAACAAAGTCCACCTTGTCGCTCTTTATAGTAGCAAGTATCTCCAAAGATGAACTGGACTTGGCCCCCAACAGACGTTTTGGCATAAATTTCGGCACTAAGGGCACGACGGAACCTTTACACTGAGTAATCATATCAGTAATCGTACTAGCCACCTTAGGCACGGCAGGTGTCACCGGCTTAGATCTAGCAGCCTTATCTTTCTTCCCCTTGGAAGAAGTCAAGTCAATCACAAACTTATCAGCAACAGGCAGACCCTCATGAGCAATGGAGGAAGTCTTTGGCTTTTTCTTAGTCGACATCTCTTGAGCAGGTGGGGAAGACCTATTTTTTCCACCTTCATTCGCAGTAGGCTCTATGACGACAATCAGACGAGCTAATGCCTCCGCCTTGATTTGTTTTATCTCCTTTCTTGAGGGCATCTCACCTTTCTCTCAACGATGATGACTAAGTAGCCAACGTCAATCACGGTACTCAGAAGGGATACCTAATGCAACATGCACCTTCTTTATATTTGGAGAAGTTTTAGGAGTTGAGCCGAATTCCAAATCTTCATAAGTAGAAGAGGACAATCAATTAATGCTACCCCACGACAATAGTGTCGTGGCTTCTCCAAGCCATTTTTCACACCTTCTCGACCCTCGTCGAACCAAATTTCAAGCCCCGAGGCAACCAAAATTTACGAAGACGAGGAAAAATTAATTTTTTCTCACCTTGGTACGGCGTGAAGACGAAGAAAGCAACAAAAGACAGTCATTTGCACGGGTAAGTGTAGAAGATTGCTAGAGGAGGGGAACAAATATCCTCTAGCTTTCTCTCTCTTGTAGGGTAGAATGAATTGCTCTCTGAAGTTGATTTAATTATCTACTTAAGGTAGACTTAAATAGACTTTAGAAGTAATTTATTTCCCTTTCCTAGAAGGATCTAATTTCCAATTAAAGAGGGAATCTAATCAAAATAGGAAACAATCCTATATTTCCTAAAATAAGAGAAGATCTTTACACCTGTTGCCCTTTCCAGCGAGCAACCAAACATGTGTGGGAGCATTTGTGGAGCAAAAAATAATCAAGAAAATTATGGAGGTGACACGTGGACTTTTGGATGAAAAAGACAAAATTACCCTTGAGGCACACCAGAATTCTCACATGCATGCAATAGAAAATAACAGCTCAATCGAGGTCAAAGGTGATTAAAATGGTATTTATTCAAAACCCTCTCATCACTCCTCGTTAAATCCTCACTCAAAAGGTAACTCCCAGTTATTCTTTTCAAATTGAGATTAATTACCAAATTAATTGCAAGATATTATTTGACATAATATCTTGCAATTAGAGCAAGAATTCCACCATAAGTGGCCGGTCTCCATTTCTCCAAATAGGACCGGCCACACCCCTATATATAGCCCCACATTTCTCCAAAAACCTAAGTTCATTCTCTCTCTAAATTTATCTAAACACTTTCTCTCTCAAATTCTAACTTTGACATCGGAGATTCTTTGGCCAAAGCTCCTCCTATTCATCATGGGTGAGTGAGGCTCTTGGCCTTGATCTTAGGTGTTATTGTTTTGTAGGTGCATTTTCGTCAAAGGAGAAAAAGACAGAAATTTGCATCCACAATCTCTATGAAAAATCAATTAAAAGCAAGACGGTTTAGTCAATCCTTAAGAAGTTCTGATCATAAGCACGAATATCTTTGAATAGGTCACGATGTATTTTAGGAAAGAGTTCCTCCTCAATTCTTGAGGAGCCAAGTCTCATTTTTTTTCTTATTTTTGGGATGAAATTCTTCTTTTATCCCTCAATTTAACAAAAAAGTAGACGGAATTAATGAAAATGATTACTAGTGGAACAAATGACGTAACTCGAGGACCAAAGAAACTATTAGTAGAATTTAGGTACAAAAATTAAACTCGTGTTATAGATCAGGGACCTTGTCTACAATTAGCCCTAATAAAAAAGATCTTCCAAAATTATTATGGAAATTTTATTGTTTTATTGTTTTAGTTTTAAATTTAATCCTTCGAACAAAATCATTACAATGAAAAAAACAGAAACATTATTGTGCCGACGTTGGTCTTATAGCTCCCTCTCTTTTCCTTTTTTTTTTTTTTTAGGTCAAAGCTGAAACTTCATTAGCAACAGAGCAAAATGTACAAACGAAGGCCTATAAACAAAGGAAGTACAAAGCACATAAAGGGCCTCAAAAGCAGTACAACAAATAAGCCCAAACCAACACATTGAATAGGGCCCAAAATAGTAACATACACAACCGAAAACCCAAACAGTTGAAACCCTATTATGCCGCCAAAGCATAGCAAACGAGCATGTCCCAACACCTCTTAACGACGCCAAAAGATCAAACCACACAAAGCCCCAAGAGCGAAGATGAAGACAACTCCACCATCCATCAACACCACCCGCAAAGATCTATATCATAACTCCAAAGAAGCCAGTGAGGAGACATCCCACCAGCAATAGTGCCGACACCGACAAGCGTTGATAAAGAACCAAAGAAGCACGCAAGAAGAAAGCTCCCATAGGCAACATCGCCGACAAGGGTGAACACTGGGCAAGACCAATAAAGGCCAACAAAGGTGGTAGTGCAAGCACTCGAGTCGAAGCCCTACACACCCTCTGGTAGATTCGTGACAAATCACAGTTAAGAGAGCCAGAATGGATCTAAAAGTTGGCCAAGGGATGATGGAACCAAAAGAAGGATAGAAAAGCATGAAGGATGGATGACATGGAGGGATGAAAAATCCACAAACTAGAGGAAGAAAATGAATTGATTAGAAACATGGAAGTGAAAACAAATAGCGGAGAAAATAGAGGGACAATCGGAGTTGGGGGCTTTATGATCTAGGGCGAAGAAGGAAAGGAAAGAAGGAAAGGAAAGGGGTCGGAGAAAATTAGGCTAGAGAACAGGGAGAAAACGTAGAGAAACGAAAAAGAAAGGGGACCAAGGTTATCACCGACCCTTGCCAAAAGCAAGGGCTAGCGACAGAACGAATTCCTTGATCTGAAGACTAACACACACGGTGAGAAGAGCTCTCACAAAGAGAGAAAAGCTCTTAATCTTCGCAAAATCAAAGATCTTTAATGTAGCTAAAAGTTATGATTTCCATATGCGGAATAGAAAATTATGTAGCTACCAAAGTTATAATTTTTGTACGGGAAGCAATAAGTTATCCAACTCCCTAATTGCATAAGGGGTGAAATTATGTGCCAATTTTGGTTAGTCCTCGAAGCTTTTGTTGACACAAGGGTTAGGGATTGACGACCAATGATAATGGATTGTTTATTGTATTGAACAAATGTCGCCATTACTAACACAAAATTCCCAATGTTATCATGACATTGTTCTTTCACAGCGTCAACCTCATCGAAGAAAATCGTCGACCTTGCTCACCAGTACAAGCCACTGTCAATATATCTTAGCTTTCTCCAACATCTCACTTCAGTTAGTCAATGAATATGACCATGGAATGAGTCTTTCTTTTGATGCAGCTGAATGAATAAAAATATAGAATAAAGAGGAAATTGTAACAATGGTCCCTTAACTTTAATCCAATAGAGTAATAGTTCCTCAACTAAAAATTCATGATCATTGTTCCCTTAACTTCTCAATACTTAGAAGTCAAGGTTGTCTTTTGATTGCATACTACTAGGAGTAATTTGCTTCTTCAGTTATAGTAAGTGTCAAATTTTTTTTTTTTTTAAATACCGACATTTTTATCCTAAGCTACACCAAGGAGAGGTGAAGAGTCTGAACCCGAGATTCAGTGGATTTAAAAGTAAGACTCTAACCATCAGAACAATTCACCACTTATTTTAAAAGGCATTGTTTGGTTTCTTTACAATTCATGCTTTAATGGTTTATCTTTGTAAACCAACAAATGTTTCTAAGAGAGAAAAATTATCAATTGCATGAATTATACATAATATTATCATGCGACGAAAATAAACAAGTACCTTATGAACACTAGGACAAATAAACAGCTATTTTGTGATCTTTGGTAATGTCAAACAGTGCTGGCACCAACCATCTCTTAACAACGAGACCCACGTTTGTCAAGTTATCATTTAACGGCTGAAGTAACATACTAATCGGCTGATACAGTAGAGTGTAGTATTCTTGTGGGTTTGGGCATGAGTTTGTACAGACAGTTCTAAGCTTAAATATTCATTACTGTTAACAGGCCTAATTATAATACTTGTTCACAAAAAACTTTAGGAGAACGAAAATTAGATACGAGAGCAATCAATATTTAAATAACAACCAATATTACAAACTTACATACAAAAATTTGTTGCAACACTATTTTTGTGCCCAGATTTTGGGGGCTCAGGTATCTGATATCCCATTCTTGCCAGTTGAACTTGAGCTGCAACGACGTTGGCTTCTTGATGTAATGTATTCGTTTTTATCTCCACACGCTCCATAGTCCACTCTCAATAACAAGTTTTGAATATCCTTAAATTTTGTTAGGACATTATCTTCTCGTTGGAAGTGACTCATCAATGGCTAGAGAAAAAATAAGGGAGAGAAAAGTAAAACTCCTCACTTGTTAGTCGGACCATGTAAAATCTTCTTCGTCAATTTCATCGGACTTCAAGGGATTGTTAACTTCAGCAGCAACAGCTTCTTGATCTTGAACTTCAGCAACATCAGCTTCCTGATCTTGAACTTCTTCCGACTCGGGTTTCTCCATTCCCTCCTGCAAGCAATAAGAAGCAAATTACTTTTTATACGAAGAAAAAGAAAAGAAAGGAAAAAAAGGCATTTAATCGAAAGAGATGGAAAAGCATGAATGATTGTAAGTTATATTTATAATTGAGCACAAGCTGCACCAATCATCAGTTAAAAATCTAAAAGAAAATTGCAAATACATGATCCTTTCACAGAGGAGGTCGAAGGGCAAGAGAGGCATGTCAACGAGTCACACAAGTTCCCGTATTACACATCCAACAGGTTGGTTCTATGAACAGATTAAAAGGCATAAATCAATAAAGTTGCATAATCTAAGATCAGTCAATTTGAAATTTCATCTAGATCCTTTATTTCATGAATAAATCCTAAATCATCGGCAATTCCCATATGCAAATTCTTCCATTTGACATACTACCTACGACTGGAGAGTTACAAGTACAGCAAACGATTTGTCTATAAATATGAATAACCATCTTCATGAAGGTTTAAATATAAATTAAATACATACAACCACTAACATTAGCATCTCAGCAGAAGAGAAACAAAGAAAACACAGAAAATGCATACATCAGTATCCCGAGTCTGCTCTCTTAGTCCTTCCTTCTTGCCAGTCAAGTCAACTGACTCATCCGCATTAGATTCCTTGTTTGCCTGAGCAGCTTGTTGCAGCTTCTCAATATATGAAGTAAATTGGGAATGATCTGCATGAGAAAATCACTTTATTGTACCACTGCATATACAATTTTCCTGCATCCTTCATCACATAGATTCCAATCTCCATTCATACACGACTAAACAAAATAATGAATAGGGAGAATTTCATATGTACATGTAGGCAATCGACGATCTTGGGTACAGTTCTTAATTCCACCCATCCACCCAACCACCCAAGAAGGGAATGATTAAAACAGTACATATATAAGAAAGGAAAAATTAAGGACTGACCTGTGGAATGAGTCGAGCGACTTAGTACGGCTTCTGAGATGCGTAATGGATGTTGACGCTCTTCCTTCTTGAATTTTAACTTGACTTGATGACGCGTTCGACCAGGAAAATAAAGTTCTTGAATCATAGTAAAATCTGATCCACACTGCTGAATAGCCTAAATCACATGTGAAGGGCAGATTTAGTTTGACCTATTATACAATTAGCTTAATCAGGCATGAAATCTAGTTTTAAGAAAAATTTGGAAGCAAAGAAAACATTTCCAAACATGAGCACATCCTAGGGTAGTTAAAAATTATTGGCGGAGATCTACAGATTGATTCCATGTGTTGCTTCCATTATCACCATTCTCTTTGAATTCCCATGATATCCATAAATTTGACCAAGGAGATCATGAATTGACCTAATCATCTAACTTCTAAGTCTGCAGATACCACTAACCTATAATCCCAGTTCTAAGCTGATTGACCAATCCACAAAATGAGAAAGATATGAGATTTTTCCATTAATAATTGATAACCAGTTAAATGTAGTGAATTTATAGGTACATTACCTCATAGAACAGTTCTGTGTCCTGCTTAGACCATCTTGCAGTCGGTGCTTTGTCCATGTAAGTTTGGTAATTGAGGAGAGAGGAATTAACATGATAAGTTGCTTGGTTTTCATCAGTGCCATGTTCTGAAGGATAGAACTCTTCATTGTGAGAACCTTCCTTATGAGAATCACTGTTCGTACTGCAAGGAAAGAATAATATGAAATGTGGATTAATGGACTACAATGACTCCAACAATCACACAAATGATACTCTATTCAGAATCAAGCATCTCAACCTTTGTGTCGTGTAAGTGTGTGTGCATTTGTGTCTCTCTGTGTGTGCGTGTGTGATCTAAAATATAAGCCACAACAACAATGGCAACAGTTCTTCACAAATAACAGGTTTTACTCAAAGTCAAAGTTCTACGTATCATCAAATATTTTTCACACTAAAAATTGCCCTATGCTTACCAGGCTCCCACCCAGGGTCCTAGAAAGAAAACATAATTATATTCAAGAAATCTGCCATGCCACATTGTTCTAGCCTCAAGTGGGCCCAAATAAAGTTAACAATTGGTGAAAGCATACTCAATCAGAAGGCCCAACTCACAATCATTCTATTCCATCATATTAATAAATTGATACTTTCCATTTTATACAATAGACAAATAAAACATCTTTCAACTACTTCATCCTGTTCACTTAATACCATCTTTGGACAAATGACAACAAGTGTTTAGAGCTTGTCACACAAAATAGTGCAGATTCTAAGAGTGCATTAAATGTGATCAACATAAAGATCTTGTCATAAAATTTGCACTACTTTGTGTATAAAGATAAGAAATTCAATCAACCATCATCAAGATCTCCAGGAACATCATGATATTGAATTTGAAATTACATAACTTAAACAAGTATGATCAACATAAAGATATTAGCACTTATGGCTTCTGTATTAAGAATTCCAGTACCTTTCATCGGGCTGTTGAGTTGTCAATTTTCTTGCCTCCTTAATCTGCCCATAGGAACAAACAAAGAAGTCAATGTCAATGTTGGAAGTGAAACCATATTATACTTCGTCATGTGAAAATTTGACCACGAAAACCAGATGGTACCTTTAACAGCTCCTTATGCTCTGCTAGACGAATGAGATCCTTAAGAGATAATTTATAGGGGTCAAATTCCTCCTCTGGGATTTCAAGCAAAGACTTGTCCACTACAAAAGGTAAGGAAATTAAAATCATGATGGACATCCAAATTTTGTGTCACACAATCTTAGATATCCAGATATTCATTTACCTTGTCTTCTGTTTCTACGAGTTGAATGGGAGAACTTTTTGGAAGCGTCTTTGGTTGACTGATCAGATGCTTCCTTGGTCTTCTTATGCTTTTGAACTGGTTCTTTTCCAGATACAGGTTTCTTGGATTTTCTGGGGGCGCTTTTCCTCTGCGATGTCTTATGCTCCCTATATTCATCAATATTATCCTCATCTTCATTGATCTTAGAATCACTAGAAGGTTCAGCAGTGAAGCTGTCATCGTTAGCCTCATCTGCCAGCTCATCAACTTGTTTATGAGGTACCCGCTTCCTCAGCTGCCTGGATGATGTCTCACCTTCAGCCTTCTCGGTTGCAGAAGATTTGCGCTTCTGAGGAAGATCTGATGTAGTAGAAGTGTTTCTATTTCTACTCTTACGACCCTGCCCAATCCAGAAAACAAAGAGAAGCAGGTATCTTAACACAATTAATCTTTATATCCAGTCCCATACGAAATGCATGGACAAATATTATAGTTAAAAAATGTTACCACTTTTTCAGGTGTTCCACCAACATCTTCTGAATGCACAGCATCCCCCAAAATGGCACCATCCGAGTGGTTAGTTTCAGCCAGGTTTTCTGTATTCACTTGGGAATCAGAGGTTGGATTCAGGGTGCTAGAATCACCAAGCCTTGGAGACGGGTGATCAATAACATGTCCAGTAGGGAAGGCAGGAAGCGAGCTGTCATTCATGTCACAAGTTTCAAAATGTACCAAATGTCCAGCTTGTAAACCCATGTTAGGCTCAACTTCAGAGCAAGGGATGTGAATATTCTCCTTTCCTTTTTTAACTTTGAGCTTGGGTTGATGTTTGCCAGCATGTCGTTCTACATCAACCCAGATTCAATTGAATACGCAACATAGAATACGGTAGCAAAATACAAAATTCAAGTGATTGTGCACATACCGGATGAAATGGCTACATCAGACCCAACATCTAGAACTTCAAAGTCAGAGAAAGCCCCATCTACCTGACACTATACTGCCCAATTAATCAAAATCAATAACTCAACAAGAATCACTTTTCTGTGATAGTACAGGTCTTTACCTCAGGTTCTAACTGCATTTCACCCTGTTTGTTAGAGATGGAAACTTCTCTGCAGGACATTGGATCTTGGGTTGTACAATAATCAGAACAAGTTTCAGCTTCTGCAACATCACACACCACAAATGATGAGGACTTGGCAGAACAATGTGTGGTATCATCAAAGTTTTACCATTGAGAAAATTGCAATTTATGAATCATGATTAACAGAAGATGAAGGGAAGAACTTGTCACCTGGTTTGGTACCCGTATCATCCTTATCACCGGACTTATTGACAGCAATCTCTGCTGGAAGAACAAGCGCTTACCACAGTCAACAGACAGTACTAATGCAATTTTTAACTGTTTAGAAAATTTTTGCATTTTGCAAAAGTCACCTGTACCCCTTGTCGTTTGACTGATAGAATCATCAAGACATTCCAATCCAGAGAATATGTCTGCATTCTGGAAAACATCATAACTTATCAACAAGAAATGAAAAACAATGAAACCAGGAAATAGGTAAATACTCTTACCTCCCCCGATGCTTTTCCATCAGAACCTGCAACGTCTGCAGTTGATTCGCAAGATCCGGTGTCCTTCTTGCCATCAGACAATGGAATCACATTGTTTTCTGATGACTCTATGCTCCCAACTTGATCTGTTAGTTTACTGTCTCCAACATCAACAGATGGAACACTATCTGAGATGGTGGTAGATAATGTTACAGGTATTTCTGTTATGACAATCGGAAGAGCAGGGGCAGCTGCTGTAGATGCTACCCTGCTAGGCCGTGGCTTTGCCTTGGGTCGAAATCGGCCACCAGCACGAGCTGCCAAAATAGAACTTGAAAATCAGTTAGGCCATCTCTTGAAGTAATTACAAATGGAAAATATGACAAGTTTTTCGAGTCCTAGATGCACGGCTTACCAGGGACACCAGCAGGCGCAAGAAAAACATCGTCCCAATCCGACATTTCAATTATAGCAGAAGCCTTGTCTTTAAATAAGGTAAGGGAAGAAAACTAACAAAAAAACCAAATTCAGTTCAATGGATAGAAATAAATTTAACTAAGTAAGTTCTATTTTCAGTCCAAAGTTATAAAAAAAATTAAAAAAACTAAAATAGAGAAAGAAACACAAATTACTTAAATTTTAATTGGTGTTTTTATCTTCCAAACTAAGATAATATGGTCCTGAATTGGGATAGATCGGTACGGACCAAATGTATACAGATGATCCCATCAGAAACGAGGAAACAAATGAGAATAATTTGATATGGCAATTACCGCATCAGAATAAGACCCGAATAAAACCAGCTACAAGCATTTAAACGTATCACTTATATGTACATTTACAAAAAAATTAAAAAAGAAAAAACATGGTAATACTGGGGAGAACTAACAAACTACAAATTAAGAATTGATAATCTAACCTCAATTGTGATTTGATTCCGCAAAAGCTTAGTAATTCGAAGATAAAATCAAAGTTGGCACACAAAAACACAACTTCAACGAGTCCTCGATTTCAAACTGAATAATGGGGTCGAGTAAATTTGTAAATTGATTGTATCTAAATCAAACTAACTAAAAACCAATGGAAATTTCTATCAAAACCCAGCAGATAATCCTTCACACACTAACAAATGATCAAAAAGATTCAAAATTCAATCAATCCCAACTCGCAGAGAACTTCAAATCTGAGATAGAAAAGCTTCAATCACTGGATTCAAATTTCAATAAAAAAACATATTGGGATCAATACAAAACAGGACATTCAACTCTAGTCAAAGGAAAACCCTAAATCACTTAGCGAACTGAGCTTGGAAGAGCGAAGAGCAGAGATTCCACTGAGAGAGAGTCGACGATGATCGCAACAGAGTACATTTGACGACCGAATCGAAGAAAGGGAGAATTTGAAAAACGATATGCTCACACACAGTGCGAGTAGAGAGAGGGAGAGAGAGTGAAACGGTCCGGAGCTCTAAATTGGAAACAAGAACTTTTATACCTAGGGTCCGGAAAAGGGCTCGAAACCGGCGGTGGTGTGAGACTTCCCGATTTCGATCTGCCTAACTGGGTGGCGGGTGACAGGGTGACCTGCCCTTTGAAGGCCGGCCGACGAGGAGGAGAGCCAAGTCGGTGGCGACCTCGCCAGTGCCGCACGGCGCCGTAAATTTGAAGAGCAGAGGTGCGACACTGTTCGCCCAAGGAGAGAGGAGAGGGAGGGGACGGGTACGGGTCTGACGCGCGGTACTGTGCCAACTGCTGTGCTTATGTAAGCAGTTAAATTCTACATATTAGCAAAAACGTCGTGCTAGTTTAGATGGTGGAAGCGACTATTTGACGGATGTAGGTTAGGTTTCTGGGGTGCCGTCGGTTCGATTCCTACAATTGGCACAATAATATGGTTTGTATTTTATGTGAATTTCATGTTCGATATAACATTTCAAGAAAATTTCTTCTTGAAAAAGTACTCGGAAGTGTTATTTTTTATTTTAGATGAGCTTTTCCATGAAACGCTTCAATGATCTAGACACTTTCAAGTCTTTTTGCTTAACGAAGTCATAAGTACTTGGTTGTCATAACACACTTTTAACCCCTCTAGACATCTCTCAAGGGAATCAAAGAACTATCACTTATGCCAACAGAGGTTAGTTAAGTTGTTAATGATCTATCTCCTCCCCAAACGAAGGTTTAGGTTCAAGTTCCGCTGTTGACAATTTCTCTTCGTGTGCTATCTATAAAAATTAAAACAAAGGATAAGACTCTCTTTATAAGTTCTCAAAGAGACTTGTAGTATGTATAGGCTTGGGATAAGATACCCTCACCTCCCCTTAAACCACTCTTGACAAAGCATAAATAACTATCGCTTATATCTTTCGTGGGGCTAATGTTATTGCTCATTGTATTACACATTTTAGTTTTTAAAGTCAAGATCTTTCTTTCAGGAGAGAAACTGGACCTATTTTTAACCTAGCCTATTAAGTCTCCACCCGTTAGTTGAAATTTTGCAAGGGAATTGGATCGTGTTAATGAGTTGAGTCCGTCTTACCAGCTTTATGTTCGATCAAAATTACTAATGAATTGTATATCTAATGTGTAAATACTTTATATTTAAGGTTGCTTTATTTTTTATGTTTATTAACCTAGCATGTGATACTATTTTTCCTTTACCAACAATTTTCTTATGTGATTTTATCCAATGTTAACGTGGCTACTCTTTTATATGTTAAGCATTATCTAAACTACATATTAATATAACTTTTTTGTTAACCAAAAATAGGTGAAAACACTATTTAATCTTCTATCACAACAAAAAGGTTATGGGTAATACGTAGTTTTATGAGACAAAATTTTGCTACTTTTGGTTTAAGCCTTACTTGACACACCCCGACCTGGAATGTCCAACTAGACTCCGAATTGAGTTGTGCTCCAGAAAGAAGGGAGACAAGAGAGACACGGGAGTGAAGAGAGGAGTGGTGTGGGCCCCACTAGCTCACAAACAAAGCCATAAAAGACAAAATAGAAAATATTTCCAGACAACATGAAATTATTAAATGTCCTTCACATTCGTAGTTTAGTAAAATTTTAACCGTAGCTCCAATTTTGATTCCGCTTGCGCTTACGCGTTCGTACCAGTGAGTACATCAAGAATACGATAAAATAGTAGCTCGCACATGTCACGAAATGATGGTCAACAAAAGTCAACAATCTAGCCTCTAGGGGCTTTAAAATTTTAAATAAAAAAAAATTAAGGACGAGTTATTACAATCTACCCATCTTAAAAAACATTGTCTGGATCTGGGCCAGGTCCATTTCAGATTTACAAGGAATATTATGTTAACCTTTCAGTTAACTTTAACAGAATATTCTACCAGAGAATGGAATATTCCATTAAAGTTAACTATCGACTGTTAGTTGACTTTTGTTGACTTTTTTGAAATTTTCTCATAAGCCCTCATAAGCTAATTTCGATGTCCCGAGTCTGTTTTTGACATCCATTTAGTGAAATTCTGAAGATTTAACATAGTTGACCAACTTGGAGTCTTGGTTGACTTTTTGATTGACCGTTGACTTTTTACAAAATTTGCCTAGGACCCTTCTAGCATATTTCGACGCATTGATTCCGAATTCGCCATCTGTTTCTCCAAATTTAATCATTTTCGTTGAGTTTTACTAGCGGGTCCCAATATTATGCTTAGGTGCGATTACTATCGGAGACTCCGACTGTTCTAATTGGAACGGTTGCGACTTTGCAAGTGTGAGGGGTCTTTTTTTTTTTTTTTTTTTTTTTTAATATATAGTATATATAATTGTTAGTTTCCATTTATATATTTCAAAAAGAATTTGCTACAATACGTCTAGATTAACTTAATGTTTATAATATTTAGAGCATTGATAGAAATTATGAAATTATGCTACGTCCTACGGGATGCACAGGTATGTGTATTATTATTGATGTCTTAATTATATTTATGGCTATGAATAGCATTATGGTGACGTGAATTATCGATGTACCGATGTATGATTTTATTTACGTTATCTGCTCATCATATACAACACTGGTGTTAGTACTCGCCTGGGCCAGGGTTAGGCTTCACATGTACGTTCACATCGCACCACACGCTCACTTTGGATCCATTGCAAGTGCCAGTCATGTCCTAGATTGCTATAGAAAATTAGGACTTGTATGTGATGCGCATAGCACCAGTCTTCACTTGATTGTAGTATTAGAGCATAAATCATTATTACATCCAGTCATGTTCATGTCAGAATATATTTGCATGAACTTGTGCGTCAGTATATGTTGATGAGCACTCAATATGATATGTTTATTTATGTGAGATTATATGATTATCGGACGTTAGATGGTTATTTACAAAATATTATGGTGTATTGAATCCTTGAGATATTGCAGGTTACGATAAGTATTTTTATACTATACATAATATGTATATTTTAAAAACTATACTTATTTACAACTATGGGTTATTACGTTTTGAAATGATTTCTACAAAACTTTTTTTCAGGCCCACTCACCTTTGTTTTTCGCCCCTCCAGGATTTAGTGGCAATGTTCGTGTCAACGAGGATTTTTGGCAAGCGCTGATATCGAAGACTACTCCCGATGGTATAATTCTTATTCTAATTTTACTGTACTTTACTTATGTTTTGATATCACGTGTGACTTATGTTCATTCTTGCTTACAAGTGCACTCTTACATTTAGGCATTTTTAGGTTTAAATTTATTCACCTCTTCCACATCGCTACATTTTATGGTTTTGTCACCTTCAGGTGTCGGTCATCACAACTCGATTCAAAATCCAGGTGAACATTTCGAATGCTTGTCTATGTATTTTGAATTGTTCATGAAACTATTCTTTTCCATGGAAAGTGTAGACATCGAAATTTCAGTGAAATAAATGTTAACCAATACAACACTTATTTCACCTATATCATTCCCTCACTTCACCAACAATCTCCACTCATTTCACCTACATCATCCATTTACCTTACCTACAACCTCCACTCATTTCACCAACAACCTCCACTCATTTCACCTACATCATCCATTTACCTTACCTACAATCTCCACTCATTTCACCTACAACCTTCACTCACCTCACCTACAACATCCACTCACCTCACCTACAACATCCACTCACTTCACCAAAAAAATGGATGGTGGTGATTCACTCTCAAAGCCTATAAATAGGCTTCTCCATCAAGAGGAATAAACACCAATTCACAAATACATTTCTCTACTCCCAAAATGGAAGAGAATACTCCCCACACATCCAAAATCCTTGAAGCTTTGAAACTCTAAAGCTCTCAAGCATCCAACCCCCAAATTCCCAAGAATCCCGAAGAATGGAGAAAGCACTCTTCATTCTTCGTCAAATCCTCCTTCAAGATCAAACCCCGACGGCCCTTGAAGAAAGTGTTCATCGTTCATCCTAAGATCAAGCCCCAATGACCCTTTGGATCAACAACACAAACAAATCCACACAACCGTTCTTCAAGATCAAGCCCCAACGGCCCTTGAAGAAGAGACACCAAAACCTTGAAGCCTTAAAGTTCTAAAGCTCTCAAGAAAATCCCAAAGGATCAAGAAAGCACTCTTCGTTCTTCGTCAAATCCTCCTTCAAGATCAAGCCCCAACGGCCCTTGAAGAACTTCCACCAACTCAAGATCAAGCCCCGACGACCCTTGAAGAAAGTGTTCATTGTTCATCATCATTCATCCTAAGATCAAGCCCCAACGGCCCTTTGGATCAACAACACAAACAAAGCCACGCATCCAATCGACCTTCAAGATTAAGCCCAAAAGCCCTTGAAGATCCGCTCATCCATTAACCTTCAAGATCAAGCCCAAAAGCCCTTGAAGAAATCCACACAACCATTCTTCAAGATCAAGCCCCGACGGCCCTTGAAGAAAGTGTTCATCGTTCATCCTAAGATCAAGCCCCAACGACCCTTTGGATCAACAGCACAAACAAATCCACACATCCAATCGTTCTTCAAGATTAAGCCCAAAAGCCCTTGAAGATCCGCTCATCCATCAACCTTCAAGATCAAGCCCAAAAGCCCTTGAAGAAATCCACACAACCATTCTTCAAGATCAAGCCCCGATGGCCCCTTGAAGAAAGTGTTCATCATTTATCCTAAGATCAAGCCCCAACGGCCCTTTGGATCAACAACACAAACAAATCCACACATCCAATCATTCTTCAAGATTAAGCCCAAAAGCCTTTGAAGATCCGCTCATCCATCAACCTTCAAGATCAAGCCCAAAAGCCCTTGAACAAATCCACACAACCGTTCTTCAAGATCAAGCCCCAACGGCCCTTAAAGAAGAGACACCAAAACCTTGAAGGGGCCGTCGGGGCTTGATCTTGAGTTGGTGGAAGTTCTTCAAGGGCCGTCGGGGCTTGATCTTGAAGGAGGATTTGATGAAGAATGAAGAGTGCTTTCTCCATTCTTCGGGTTTCTTGGGAATTTGGGGGTTGGATGCTTGAGAGCTTTAGAGTTTCAAAGCTTCAAGGATTTTGAATGTGTGGGGAGTATTCTCTTCCATTTTGGGAGTAGAGAAATGTATTTGTGAATTGGTGTTTATTCCTCTTGATGGAGAAGCCTATTTATAGGCTTTGAGAGTGAATCACCACCATCCATTTTTTTGGTGAAGTGAGTGGATGTTGTAGGTGAGGTGAGTGGATGTTGTAGGTGAGG